TAAATTTGTGTTCGGTATTTATTCAATACCTATGTACTGGCATTTACTTCTCTTTTTTTTCATGTAGGTACACACCGGTACGTGACGGTTTAATCGATGTTTTTTTAACTGCAGGCGAGTTCGCCCTCACATACAAATATCATGTTACTGTTCGTCTGTTTGTGTTATTTTTACAACAAAACAAAACCGAAAACACGGACAATTGGCAGCGGTGCGATTGTTCACCGATCACCGAACAAACGATGGTCGCTCTTTGTGCCAATCAGTGGGGAGCTGTTGATACCCTATCAATGGGACATTGTGACACCCACTATGCAGTTAACCAAACTATAAATGACTCTAATCACTTACAATATAAGGCTTAATTTATATTAAAATGGAGTAGTGTAGCTGCATCTTATTTTTTGTCAGCGGTATGTTTTTTTTTGCGCAATGATAGCCTCCGTTCGTGAATATTCGGAGGTGTCAGGAATTAGAGCGTTTTGTCTCCAGTTAATGGTAGAAACGTGACTGTATAAAGTGTCCATAATTTCACGATAATGTCCTCCGTCTAACGTGACAATGACCGGTGAAATCCTATTGAAAGTTTACGGTTAATTTATTGCTTTGGAAGAAATTGATGAACGTTTGCCTTAGTACTGCCGACTGCCTGAGAATAGCTAATCCTCGGTGAATGATGTAGATTGTGAACGTTCCTATAAGTGTCATATTTAATTGCAGATTTAGCGATACAAAGTCTGTTGCTTATCAAAAAAGTTTATAATCATAATGAGTTACAGTTTTTATTACCGTATTGACATACAGGCGAATTATGCAATGGCGAAAATTCTTCTATAACCAGAGAGGAAAAAACGATGTGTACCGAAAAATAAAAGCACATTAACTTAACCCCAACCACCGCTGATGTGTAACACAAAACAAGACACTATCTAATCGCATCAGCGAAAAAAAAAAACAATGAAAAAAGAAAAAAAGCAACGTTCCGAAATAAAAGTCCGGTGGATAACACAGGAAGCAATGCTTTTCCGTAGCTGATAAACTAGACAAGTGAAGGAAACGGTGGAAATGTGAACAAGATGTATGGAAAACCCTTAAGAGGGTTGCTTTAACTGAATTTAGCTTTTTTTCGCGCCGAACGGAAATTTTTCCGCATCGTCCGACGGAAGCATTTCGTTAAGTGATTTGTTAGGCTAATTAGATGAGGGTTGAAGGCTTTTTGAATTTCATACCGACTGCTATCTACCGATATTACATTCATACTACATACAAGTACATTACTTACCTACTAAAAAAATTATTTGTCCAGATCTTGCTACTTATTCTAAAACAACGGCTCTATTTTAATCATTTGGCGACCCAGTAAATAAATCTCATTGAGAAATTATTTAATAGAAATCACACACTGAATTAAAAATCCACACACATGCGTTTCGAAACATGAAAACCCTTTGTGATATGCATAAACAAGCCACCATTAAAATGGGTTAACCTAACCTAAATTCAAAGATACATAGCACATAGGTACGCAGTAAGATCAACGGTCCAATTTGGCGCAGGCGTACGCGCGGGTAAATAAGCGCTCGCAAATTGTTATCTTGTGAAACGAGACGTGTGATTCGGGCAACGACGCGTGATCCCTGCAAACCGCGGTAGGAAACGCTCTTCAGTTAACGCTAGGGATGGCCGCTGTATATAGATAGATTTTTTTTATTATGGCAGTCGTTGAAATGTTTAAATGTGTCGCTAGAAATTTGTAATTAAACAACAATAAATTATGTAATTTTTATTTTTGCTCCTCAACAAGTAGTTATTATCCTTTTGCAATACCAATTCGATTTAGTGGATTGAAAAGTGTAACAAATATTCCGAGTTATTTTTGAACGTTTTCTTATTGTAAAAACTAACGAAAGTTATTCCATGCCATTGTAAAGACATGGTGGATGTATCCAAAATGAATGGAGTAATAAAATCGTAATGAGACCAAAACATGTCGATATTTTAACATCACTAGCAAATTTATGAAATGTAATTTTCTGACGTGAACGAGTCACGAACATTTGTAGCTTTTCCGAGTGTACCGGGAAATTGCGATCTCTGCACTGAGCGCAAAATATGAGATCTACCCGCAGTTCGTTTAAATTGCGACCCCGAGCTTTTTATAATATACCACAGTGCACAAGTTGCACTGTAATTGGAATTTGAACAAATACTTCACGAGGTTTACACCTTGTCCTGTTTGTGGGGAATAGGAGAAAGCCTTTTTTTATGTGTTCACGTGCATCTTGATAGAACAGATAAATGAAGATAGACTTTTAACTTGAGATAACAAAGCACTTTCAGAATGTCTATGCTTTTTAATTTAGATGGTCTCAATGTAATTCTGTATGGAATCTTAAATCTCATTTATTGTTATTGTAAGTTTGCGTCCTAAGCATCGATATCGATAACAACTACTTCATCTATTACAAACAACTCTTCAAATTTTTATTAGGTAGATATTCTCTAACCCTTTCTACCGCTCCTATCTATCACTACAAATTAATATCTCAGCGTCCATATTTCACTCCGGAACCCTAGTTTGTAACAAGTGTCCACACAATTGGCATCCTTGCATCCTTGACCGAGCGCCATCGATGACTGATGGCTAACATGTGGCACAAGCAGACGGCAGCCAACTCATCGGAATAGGGATAGGGCTGCTCATCACGTCATATTTTATGTGAATATTCTTCATATCTGGCTGTTTTGGAAGATATAGGATATAGAATTTTTTGGACTGGGTTGAATTGGGTTTTGCAATGAGAATGTATGCAGTCAGGATAAGTATCCCAAATTGTATTAAGTATTTTTTGCTATGATAGAAGATGATCAACCGATAGCTAGCTACAAGTTTCTGAGAATGCTAACTCAAGACTCAAGATCAAAAACCATTTATGCATCTCCTTCTGACTGTTCTTTAATTAATTTTGTGTATAAAGATAGGAAGGTAAAACTCTCCAAATCGTTCTACAAAATGGCAAAATATTGCTCGCATCAGCCCTAAGATGAGGGTGCTCTAAGATAATTATCTTTTTTACCGCTCGCACCCGACGTAACTTGTAATACCGTGATAAATGCCGCGTAAAGGGCTTGTCGCTGACGCGGAAACCAAGGGTACGCAGTAGGCAAACATTTTCGTGTGATTAATACTTCACTTGTTATAACATTGTGTTAGTTTCATTGCAACAGATGCTTTTTATATTTTCCAAGTAATTTTTTACAGTTTTTCCTTCAAGATAAAGAGGGATCGTGTTTTAATTTTACGCCAAATTAGCCACCTTGTTTTTCTTCTGTATTTAACGCGTTGTCAGATGTTTCGCTCGTAAATCGTTTTGTTCTGAATTGCTTGGATGTTTGTCATTTTTGTAGCTGTACTGTTATTTTTTTACGAGGAATTTTAATGGTTTATTTTACCGTTTTGCGGTGAGACGCAGTTAGGTTTGGATACTAGTTAAATTTTACTCAAAATATTGTAAGTAGTTATAAACAATTGACATTAGAAATCGATTATTACCATGACACATATAAGACAATAACTCGATCAGTTATTTAATTATTCAAGGTTACAGGTCAGGCCACCCTTGTTCTCTATTTACCGAAACAATAGATCAAGTTTAAAGGCCTTTATTTAACAGTATAAACACACGGAACCCCAAAGTACACATCTTCGTAAAATAAGTGGTATTTGGAATTATGACTCAATCGTTGGTTGAGGGAAGTTTGAGTGTCTGCCCGCAAATTGTAGGTTGGGTACCCCTGATTATGGGAACCGCGTTGTAACAATGTTTACGGAAAATTATGGATCGTTTGTGGAATAGATAGGGCAGATAATGTCTGTGTCTACCTTCAAATAGACGATTAAATGGATAGTTTTGATGTAGGGGTGACCACAGTCGGGTGACTAAAACCTGCTGAAAAACTATAAAATAAATAACTTATATCTACTTATTTACCTAAAGGAAAATTTCACAAAACATAGGTAATTGGTTTGCATAACTCAGATATGAATCGCTTAAATGAATATTCAATGGAAATTCCCACGAGTCACAGGAAAAATATGTTTGGAAACTGATAAAACAATCGATTTATCTAACCATGAAGTAAATCTAGATTACATACATTCTTCTTTACGTAATATTACACATATTTATGTTATACAAGGACATCTGTTACGATTTATCTACAATCTTTACCCAATTCATATTCCAAGCAAAACTGGTCATAAATAAACAGCGCGCCTACTAAAATTAATAAAAGAATTATTCAAACAAAGAACAAAAAAAAAATTGCTTTAAAAACGAGATTTATAATCCCCGTATAGAGATATTTATGAAAATAATTTATGAAAATTAAATCATCATGCTAGGGGTCGGTTAGATTGGGGAGGTGGATGACAAATGGACAAGCTGTGACGACCCGCTACATCGTGACATGGACTAATAGCGCCATCTATTGCGGTTGCGCGGTGTCCGTCCGCCTGTCAGTTGTCGATAATAACCGAGAGATGGCAATAGTTATAGCTTTTTGGTGGAATGTTTTGAGTTTGTTGTAGTTTAATTAGAGATTATTAGTAGTTATTTTATTACTTAGGATGGAAATCATATATTAGAATGATTTGGGTAGGAAAGTTGTTCGTTGAATTAAGTTCGTAAATAAACGTAGTATAAATAATTAGTGACAAAAAACATCTGGTATAAATTTAAATTATGTTAATGTGTAAATTGAGTATATTCAAATCGGTTATATTCACAATCTAACAATGTAAGTGGATAGGATTTTCTCTTCGTTGGTAAGAACATTCTCAAGACGCTTCCTTTGTTGAACTTTCAGAAGTTCCAAAGCTTTGAACGAGATGGCGCTGTCTTCAATTATTTATATACTAAATTTTTTAGGCACAAAATACGCATTTGTTAGTTAATTTTTTGAATAAATTTCCTAATAGTTTTTTTCATAATTTTCAGGTCCGTGATAAGAATGGCGTTACTGGTTGGTGGGACGCGACCACTGAGAAGAGCAACTGGCTCAAGTTGGTTCGCTCCACGAACTACCCGCACGACGTCAACGTGCAACACTTTTTGCGCGCTGGCCAGGTATGGTCGTTTTATGTCTTCATTTATTAAACTGTCAAACACCAAGCGGTCACCGGTGACCGCAACCTATTGTTCTATAATTGTGTCTACAAAACCGGCACTCGACGAGTTAAACTGTTAAACTGTTCATCATTCTTAAAAACAAAACAAAATTATGTATATAGACAGAAATTGCGAACAAAAATTTCTGCAATGAGAAGTACCGATATGAAACTTTGGATTGAAATACCTGTACCGTAATAAGAATGGGGAAGACGACTAATTTTTTTTTTAATGTCCGTCTGGTAGATTATTTAAAAACATTAGACACGTATTTTTTATTTTCTTACGGAAACGAATAGTTTCGAAGATATATTGATTTGAAATGTCGCGTGACGTCACTTCTCAGTACATTTTATACTAAGAAATGACGTTTTAGCCCCCACTCCTAAACTTTGATTCGTTTTATCTAAGTATTGTTTTATTATACAACAAAATAAAAAAAATACGTGTCTAATATTTTTTTATTACCTAAGTTACGGACTAATTATATTTTTAATTTTCATACCCTGTCATCTTCCCCATTCTGATATATTAAAAAAACAATATACCTACCTATAGATACACAGTACCAACAAAAAAGGCTTTTAAAATGTTCTCATAGTACTATAATATCCCTATTCCACCCTCTTTGGAACAACTTTAAGTTCGCCTCAACTTTCAAATGTCAATTAAAACTAATAACGCACAAATCAACGAATGATTATCACAAGCAACGGCTCAGCCTATTGTAGCACTACCCCAATTAAATTTGAATGTGGAACGTTAGTACTTCCGGTGGCAGAAAATCGGTGTTCGGCTGAACAACTGTGTGCCACTTCCGGTCAAAGAGGGGAGCGAACAGATGCGGTGATTAGATTCACTTAGTTGTACCCCTGTAGAGGTTAAATGGTATATGGAATTTAAATATACTGCTTCGAAATATGAATGTTTAAAATGTTTTAGAGTTAGACTATAAATATACGAAATTAAAAAAAAATGTACCTAATGAACATGATCTTGTAGGGTGCTATAAAGTACAGGAATCTAATAAAATGTTGTGCTTGTTTCCATTTTATCGACTTCAAAAATGGAGGAGGTATTATGTTCAGATGATTCTGTATTTGTCACTTCTGTTTTTATACATAACCATCAATTAGGCTTTGGCAATGGCAATAAAAATATTTTATTGTGATCTTTGTACTTTGTAAAGCTTAGCTTTGCCGCAGAAGTATACTTATTATGACTTATCCATTTCTTCATATAGAAAAAGGTCTCACAATTTCTTTTCTCATAGCTTCAAGAAAGTAATGTCATGTGTTACATGATTTCAGGTGTGGTACAAAGTCGTCCGTGAGGTCCCATCCGGACAGGAGCTGCTGCTTGGACCCCGAACACCTTTGTACTTAGAAGACATCTCTTTGGACTCAAGTACGTACAATCTATTTGCTTTTTTATAAAGATTTTACTAGGCTTTGTCACAAGGTTGCTTTTGATATAAACTCTATTCCTGACTTCAATGAGTGGTTTCTGGTATTGAAATAAAAAAGCACATTTCGGTAATGCATTCAAAACGTTTCTTCAACTTTTGACTAGGTACTAAACAGTAGACATTTTTTAACTTTTACCTATTAATGTTTATAGTATATGTTATGTTGGTGGATTAATGATTACGACTCAGATTGATTTTATTGGCATTTATTATAGTTACATTTATATTAGACGGACAGAACACATTCCGTGTATATATCAAAGTATGACAGATAGACAGCGCGCTCTGTGACAGCAGCTGATATCCATAGTACAAATAGTGTAGGCGCCATCACTTACTAATTTAGTGATGTTCATACTAGTAATAGTATAAAACATGAAATCTGGAACGTCATCAAGTGTGAAAGCTGATTTTTGTAAGAACGCATAGTTAGTTAGTACATAAAATAATAACTTTCAGTACATACTACTAACCAAAACCAGGTAAACAAAGTACATACAAAAACGTACATAGGAAGCCACATACATACATAGTCTGGGACTATCAGGGCAGCAGTTGAATCACGGTCACGCGCATTCACGCTTCGTTGACACGCGGGGTGACAGTTAATTGGAGTCACCTGCCCTCTGCCCTCCAGTGGACGGCGACCCTTGACGACTCATTATATAGTTCAGATACAGGCTGGTTTTAAAAGAGAACATTGAGTTCTTAGTAAGTAGTTTGATTACAATAATTGTAATCTGTGCATATTTGCTTAATTGTTTGAATGCACCGATATGAGCCATAATAGAAAATACATTGTGTATCTCTATCTCCGTTTAGACACACGACGGGTTAATAGGTATAGAATATTGTAACGCATAGTTTATAAATCGTAACTTATTCACATTATTCATCTATCTCCTGTAAGAAAATCGGAAAAAAGGTGGTTAAAACTGGCCGTTTAGAACAAAAAGTAGATTTTATTTGTGAGTCCGGAGTGCGTTTACAAACACAAACATTTATATACACGTCACACCTAGACAATTCAGAACATTGTATGATGCAGTCATCTTTTGCCGTAATTATAACAAAGTATTGAGGAAAACGTAACACAATATTCTAATAGGATCGTTATGTAGTTCAAATTATTACAATTGCATACAACAGATATTCCGCTATTAGTCATCACGGATGGATTCATTCACGACTATTGAATTGTATCAATATATATTTAAATTGGTAAATCAAATGACATCATTGATCCTACATTCCTGTATTGGAATTGTCTCGAAATAAATTCTCTTAGGTATTACTATATATTTAACTTACAAAGCTCATGATGAGGTAACAAAACATATTTTAATTTGTAACTCCTTGCATACTCCTTTTTGTGGATTTAGACAATATTTTAAGAATAGGCCTAATAGTTCAATTACAGAGTTTAGGTATTAAGCACTTATCTATTTACAAAAATGAAGCAGGCTGTATACAAAAAAATCTTAGGGTTCGGACACACCGGCGCACCGGTGCCACGCGCGCATGCGATATTTAATTTAGATAAATCGCGACGTACGCGCCGCCGCCGATGTGAAAAATCACGCATATATGCTTTGTTATTGCAAGGGGGTTTTTTTCAACTGTTTGTTTAGACTGGAAGAGACAAGATTATTATATTTGTTTGAAAAAAATAGGCGGCTAACTTGTTCGTATCCTGCAGAAAATTTAAAAACAAACTGATCTTACATTCTCCTATATGGAGTTAATTATTCAGAAGTCACGACGGTAATTAAAAACCTGATGTAAGTTCATAGAATCTTAATCTATCTTTTAAAATTATATGGCTTAACTTCTACTGAAATAAGTTTTAAAAAAATCGAACACTTTAACACTGCAACAGCAATAAGTTCTCATTAACAGCCAGTAGCGCGGTCAATCGCTCTCGCATATCATAAGCCGCATCTAGTAACCGTATGTCAACCGGTACGGGTCTTCAGTGCTTCCTGTAACGGCTTCCGGCACGGACTAGCGGCGTCACAACCGACACGGTCCCGGTGATTTATGTGATTTCGATTGCACGTAATAACCACGTTGCTCTAATTACGAATTGACTTTGTATTGCGTTCGACACTTGGAGTATATTGTTCCTAAATTGCAGTTATGTAAGGACCTAATTATAAACTTACTAGAATTAGGTATCTTATGCTATATAATAGTAAAAGTTAATAACAAAAAGGATAATTAAGACAAAAGTGAAAAATGTATTTAAAACCACGAACATTTACTTTAATGTACAAAAAACAAAACGTTTATAACTAACCAACCAAATAGAAGTAAACAGTCCATTAGCGAAATAAAATTTAATAAACAGCTGACGTAACGATTGGACAACAGTACTATAGTACAACAGTATAGTGGTCACATATTGAGGGATCATTTACTTCAATAAACACAACTCAGCACCCACATTCATCACAGACACATGCAGCATGACAAACCAATATCGTTATATTGGTTTGACACAATGACTCTTAAATATACGTAATTAGAAACTATTTGCAGTCAGCAGTCAACATTTGTTGTTAAGCTCGCCTTGCACAAGACTTGATTGATGGACTTTACTCCCAGCAGAGGCCACCTATAGCTCCATTCATTGAATAATTTCTCGATAAGAATGCCTTTTTGCGAAAGGATTAATACCGTACGAGATAGGATTTTGAATACATTTATTCCTACATGACAATGGTGATCGATCGCCTCAAGATAATTTATAACCAAATATTTCCGTGCGTTTTTTAGAGCCTTTACCGATCTGTTACGTAAGGCCAGCCACCTTAAAATTCTATAGATAGATAAGAGATAGTAAAGTCATAAATAATGACACAGATTTATTGGAACATTAATGTTTTCTAAAAGGTCATTCTAGTAATCCTAACCCCATTCCTGAGGTAGGCGTTTAAAGTGTATGAATTTTAAGTGGCCTAGCTTTTTACGAGTTCAGATTGTACGAATTCCTAGAGTTGTTAATATTAAAATGTTGCGGCGTAAATACTAGAGCGATTGCAATACAAAGTTCACAAATAAAATAATCTGTGCTCAGATCTAGTTTTTCAATCCATCTCCTGTCATACGCAATAACAATAATGCGGAGTTAACCCTTCATTGGCTGTATTTTTTCAAATAGTCGCGTGCATTCGTGTGCGTAATGAATGAGTGTCGCGCGTTGACATTTGTCATCGCGCAATTGTCGCGCAGATTAAAATTGATGACGTTGCTTTGTCCGACTGTGCACTGCGCACGCTTTGTGTTCTATAGCAGTTATCTCGGTTCGTGATTATAATTTTTCATATTGATAACAAAAAATGGATTACGTACATTGATTAGAATCGATATTTTGTATGTTTATTTTCTTCGGTTTTAGATCAAAGTTCTAATTATGGTTGCAAAATAATGTTTTAGTGTTTGCTATATATGTAAATGTTAGCTAGAAAAAGATTATACGTTTAGATTTCGCACTTCTATAAATATGGAATAAAATAATATTGTATACCTTAATTATTTTATAATCCCTTGGGCAACGAAAATCCTAATAAATCTAGAAGTAGGCAAAGAACGAAAAGCAAATTATTCATCTTATATTGCACAAATAAATGCAAAAATTGAAACGTCACACAATCGTAGCAGTTCGCTAGCAAACAGGATGATTAATCAAAAAATTAACCAACGACAATGGTTCCACCCTCCATTAAACCGGCGACAATCGCTCGGCGTCCCACATCGCGTATTTATTTAACAATCAAATAAATATTACGGACAATAAAATAGAAATATTTCAATTTAATAACACCGCCCCCAGTGAAGGGTTGAATCTGGTTCGGTAGGAGCCTGCTTTGTTGGCAGATTAGATCGCTCACTATCTTGATGTCACGCAAAATTGAATAATTCTTACACCACAATACATTTTGACGCGTGTCTAGACATTTTTGTTTTGGATTTTATTTTTAATCCTGCAGTTATATTTTTTGGTTGATTAATCCGATCTGTAAAGGTATCGAATCAAAATTAATATTCATGTTAATTTTGATTCGCAACGAATAAATATTTGAATGAAAAAAAAAACTGTGGATATTTCTTTGGCGATTACGTTAATAACTTTTGCGTTATCAATAACTGGGCTTGGCTCTCAAGAGAAATTCAAGTACCTAAAATTATTTTTCGAAATTCAATTAAACCTACTTAATCTGCCTTACAAATAGCAGCTTATTTTCTTAATATGTAGTAAAATAAGATCGGAACAGCTTATTACGAATTTAATTTTAAATTTTATTTAAATGGTAAAAGGAGTTATCGATATATTTCCGTCAATATCTTTCACCATGCATCAAGGCAGGCTCTGACCGAGGTACAAATGTGCGAGGCATACTGCGACCGTTTTCGCCTTCGGGTGTAACGGTAAGATGCGCGTGCGACGCACCTGATGCGAAGCCACAGCCTCCAGCGCGAATAGGACCTATTTCCACGCAGGAAGCGAACCTTGGACTAACAGATTATCGACACGATTGTGTTCTAGAACACGGGATATTAAATTGAATTGTTTTGCGGCGATGATTTTATAATTTATCTTATGAGGTAGTTAAGTTACTTTGTAAAGCGCTAGCTATAATTTATACACGTATATTTAAATTAAGTAGGACTTTCAGACTATAGTAGTTTATATGGTAATTTAGATACTAAGAAAAATAGAGAAAGGTCATGATTTTTAAAGAATAAAAAATAAAACCGCGTTGTAGTCTCTAATTTCACCAAAAGGCATCAACATTTCATTCTTAATTAAAATAACTGACTTTTAATATCAAAACGCACGTTAACACTTATAAATTGCGAGAAACAACAGGTGTAGTCGTTTGGGGTGAGTTTCATTAGGAAATCGGTAAGTCACCGTCACGGTGCGCGCGCGCCGCTCTGACATCTGTGACGTCGTCGTCGTGGGAAAACTTAACGAACACCCACCCTGCCTTGTGCGCAAATTGCATTTTTATTTCGGTGCCATATTGTTTTACTTGACTTTTGTAGTTCAGTTTTTTGTGTGGGAAAAAATTAAACTTGTCTGGTGTAATAAAAGGCGAAGTAGATTGTTGAATAGGTAAATAGTATGTAGAATGTCTTTGCGGTTTAGTCTTTGTCTTTGGAAGTAATCATTTGTAATCAAAAGTTAGGAGGTGCTCTTTAATTTGACTGTTAAGTTTAATAAGCATGATGTTTAAAATCTTATCGTTTTTTTTTTCAAACAGAAAATAATCTATGGAGAATATCATTAAACTTTCGAAGTCATTTTATTTAAGAAGAGTTATGGTTATTTTGAAAAACTGAATCAAATCACAACACTTTCCAAATATAACCCTTAACCCTCAACAGTCAATTACAACTACAACATTTAAAACTTTAAAACCACAAACGGTGGAGTTGTCACGCACAGATGATTTTCCATATTTCCCCACAGGCGGGTCAAGTGAGCATATTAACCCACACAGGTGGGGTGGGGGTGTGACCGGCCCCCTGATAATTTGTAACAAAACACTTCAGTACAGTACTGACATCGCACATAGATTTACCTCTGACCTATAGTGACATCACTGGTGATCCCGTGTCATCTTTGGGATCTTTTCGATTTTTGACGGTTTTTTTTGAGGTATGTAAATTTTTTCGGTTCATTTTTCGGATTGTAGTGATTCATGTGTTTTTATTAAGTAATATGTAATCGTATTTTTTATTTTGTTCCACTTCATTGGTTTTATGTTGTCTTCATTGTGGTGTATATAAATTAAAAAGTTGAAGCCTGATTTACTGTGCCTTTATATTATGAATACATCTCTATGTATGTATAATACTTTTTTTAGCGTGTGTAAGAACTGAAATTTGCAATGTAAGATATGGCATAGAAACTATTTCTACAGCGCTTGCCGTCTACATCCCTAACGGCTTTTTATTACCAATACAATTATACACACAAAAAAACCATCTTTGATCCCGATTCATATTTATGCGATGATATCACAAGTTTATCTTAGCCTTGCCTTATCACGGCTCGTTAGACAATGCTTGAGGCGTGGTGTCGCTCGTCGTGACTCGAATTAATTCTGCATGTGTCAATGCGAGCCATTTCATACTTCCGAGGCCCTGTTCGTGATTCTATACGTTTGTACTGACAAACATATGACATGTCCTACGTCCTGCCCTATTATTAACGTCGGATATATGATGTTTCCTAGAGTACATAATTGTTCTATGGGGTTTAAGTCTATTGAGAATTAGTTTGTAGTTTCAATTTTGATTTACCTGTATGTAGTATTCAGGAAGTGATGTTTGTCAGAACATTTATTTCATAATATGCCTTTATTAAAATTATATGTAGGAAACCATAGACTTTTCTAAGTTGTGTAATAATAAAAATCAACGAATCATTGAAACGAATTATTTTCTTAACTTTGCGTTAGCGTAAGCGTCAATAGAAATAACTTGTAACTTTAATGTGTAACTTATATTTAAATAATCAAACCTGTAGATCTATTCAGTTGCAATATTAAAACATATAGCATTTATTTTCTTCACATAACATAACATAACATCACGCCTTTTATCCCCGAAGGGGTAGGCAGAGGTGCACTCTGAAGTAACACCCACTTTTCACTATTAATGTTATGAGTGCCATGTAATAGGGGGTGAGTTTATTGCCATAAACCGGGCACATTTCCAGACTCCTTGCTACTACTGAGATTTTTTAAATACCCAGTAATTCTTTGTCCGACCCGGGAATCGAACCCGAGACCCCTTGCCCGGCAGTCGCACTTACGACCAGTCGGCCAACGACGCAGTATTTTCCTCAAATACTAAATTATATGTTTCATTACAGAGCGCCAGTCTTCGATTGAGAAGTTCAGCTCTTTGCCATCAGCAGATGACGACGAACGAGAGGACGCTGACATTCGCTGTAGCTACTGCGACTTGCCATTCCCCAACATCGATGTGTAAGTACTTTAGCATATTATTTAAATGTAAAACAGAAATATCTGGGGAGTAAATAGCTATATTGGGACTAGGAATCAAACGTAAGCAACAGTTCGTACGTAAAATGTGTTGAATACAAAAATTGCATTTTTGATTTACAATTTAACGTAACTGTTCTTACAGTTGGTCCTGCTAATTTTCCATCTTTTATAAAAATACGAAACTTAGAATAAAACTACGAATGATGTAATCGATAATCTTACCCATAAATCCAAATAATAATTTCATTCATAATCCAAGTTTGTCTTAGTTTTATCATCAGTATTATGGTTTCCTGATACCATATAGGTTTATTGCGTCTAAGGTCCCAGGTTTATAAGGGATACTCGCTAAGCCGTGCGATAGACGATATGATTGTATCGCCCTGTAACTATTTATATCGGTCTAGGAAATTTATTGAGCTCTAACCGGCTTAAGTGGCTACTAAATAATTCTTATCAAAACCATTGTTCCACGAATTAACATTAAACAGTTTATAATATTGCCTTTGTAACACGTCATTGATGCGTATCTCTTCTATTTTAAAATATTCTACTTCTGTACAATCGTACCAAAGGTGGTTAATGTCCAACCGACAAATTAAATTCAAATCAGTCAATCGTGCATCCCATCTAAACGGTCCATTCAAGATGTCTGCCGGTATACGCAGAAGTCTATCAATTTCAAACGTCTTCGAAACCATTAACCTCCTGCCATTAATATTATTTGGTCGTAGAAGAGCGGCTGTAACGATTTATTTAGTGCTAGTGATGTGCTCGTTCGATAAGACGCACCTCGATGATTTGTTGCCGGTCGGGTCGATGGCACGCGACGATTCCGCGTTTTTGCTGTACCGAGCAGATGGTGGCTCCCGTTCTACAGTACTACATGACGGGCATTCCTTAAATTCTCTTCGATACATGCTAAAAATAGCTAACTCACCCATACCAATCAATCAATGAAACTATGAAAACAACTAAAAACTACTGATAAAATCAGTAACACAAACTAAACGTCTCATCACGAATGAAAATATATCATGAATTTATTATCTATGTGACAAGCGATGGAAGGCCATAATGGCGTGTGTCATCATATTCTATCGAAGCGCGGGCTCGTCAATAATGCAGGAGATCGAGATTATCGACATGCACCGTTCTAACGTATCCTCGTAGTGACGCAGTCCTTATCGCGCCATCACTATTGTTTTAAACGTTTACCACGTTTCTAGGGCATCAGGAGATCGATTAGTAATTAGATGTGCGCTACATTGTAGCTTTTTATGTTTTATAGACTACGTAAAGTGGGAAGATAAAATTAAATCACTTAGATGCAAGACCAAGATAATTGAACTAGGTCTACTCGTACTTAATTCTATCAGGAATTTAGCTGTAAACCTGTCTTCAGTAGACATCAGTATCGCATTAGGCGAAGTGTCGTATTGTATCATACAGTAGTAAAATCTTTATTGATGTATTAAATTATAGTGTCACGTTCGTTCCGAATACTTGTTCGGGCGTATTATAATGCATCATGTGGATTACGAAATCTCATTGTAATCACTCTTATCGGATCTCTTTCCACTCTTACTTTCGTCAGAGTGCTGTCACAATTGGAATGATCATCGCCGCTGTCACACCTTGAATCGATATCAGATCGATCAGGTAGCGATTGCGAAGTCGAACACTAAAATTACAGGCTACAGCTACAGGCCAACGTGATCGGATCTATGTACAATCATTATTATTTGTCTAACGCAGATTTATTTTTATTCTTTGTCTAGTTTTGAGCACCTATTCAAAATGGAGGTGGTAATTTTGAGAAATTAAACGTGTACAGTAATTTGATATGGTCAATTAGTTTTCAAGGAACTTTGATGGATATGCTAGTCTGGATTATATAATTGGTGATTAACATGCTGTAATAACGGGTTCGTTTACATGTGGTACATGGAGAATCAGATCGCCTCGGTGAATACTATCGATACTATCTATTCGAACATGGACTAGCCACGGTATTTCTCAACCGATTGTAAGCGCTAGCCGGGATCTACAATCGATTATTAAAATGTAAGCACGTTCGTCGGTAGTACATCATTAGTCTGGGCAGAGTAGCTAAAATGGCGCTCAACGATTTTTTCCAAATAAACAACAAAATATTTAATACTTACATGAAAAAAAAAGGTATTTTTATAGAAATTGATTTTGAACTGAAGAGTGCAACTATTAACCCGTTGCTTCGTGACATACAATGCTTACTTATATCCTCTTTACATATGATCTAATGACAACAGTTCAACAGTCTACCAGACCATAGTATATTGCAGCTATACAAATATTTAATTTTCAATGCTTCCTATTCCATATAAGGTTTTAGAAAAAATTAGCGTCATTTTAGTGTTCAATTGTACAGTGGCTTGTGTGGGCGGAGCTTAATAGATCGGCTTGGAACGAAAGTTGTTCATTGGATGTTATCAATTGGTGAACATGTAGATTATTCCTATGATCGGCGGATATCAGTGTCTACAGCGTGTTTCAGTTTCGATCTTAACTGCGGACGTAATGTTTCTAGTAAGTAGATTAAGCACACGCTGTCTATGAATGATGTTTTATTAATAGTAGGTATAAGCGAAGGACCGGACAGAGATGGGAAATGTCTGTCAATATGTTAATGCATTTTTCTAGTGCGATGTTTAAGTAGTATGTGGTTCGAAATGCCCGGCACAGATTTACTTCTGAAGAAGATATGTCCATAGGTGCATGTTAAGTTTAACAATTTTTAATTTAATTATTTTTTAAAATGAAAATGGATCACAAAATTATCACTCTTCTAAATTATTGCAAAGATATTTGAAACATATTCCAAAAAAAAACGTCCTTCCATGGCGCCATCAATACCACAGCACAGCCTAGCGTTATCAAATCAATGTTCAATTACAACGAACAGACAGAATGGAACACTTTCAATTGTTATAGAATGATGCAATAACCTATTAAATGATACAACTGTTCTAAAGGAATCGTTTACTTAGATGATGTTATGAAGTAATGAAAAAAAGCCGAATGGCCGAAGTTTGAGATTGTATGCGCAGATAAATACTTGGGCAAGTAAGCCCTGAGGCTATGCGTTGTTTCTGTTGCGCGTGCGTCGATTACGAATCTACTGAACAGTGTACAATGTACCTCAGATCATGTGTTGCAAAATGTAGTTGATTAAGATAATTAGTTTAAATTAGAATGTCAAAATTGTAAAGAGGAAAATTAAAGTACTAATTTATTGTTGTACGTAACTAGATGAACCATAGTAAAGAGAAGAAAGTCAAAAAACATTTCAAAGAATTCAAATTAATCAAAAGGAATTTAGAGATTCGATAAGTGATTGTTTGGTATTCTTCGTTATTTGCATTGCCGGAATCTAATAATTCTAATTCGCTACTAATTGGCTAACTGTTCACATGTGACACAGATTTCAACGTGGATGTACATATGTCTAGTTGGTGAATAGTTAGAGAACGCAACGGACGAACAGACAGTAAGCGACGGAACCATTACTGACGATAGATTTTATTCCTAAGATTAATTAAAAGATACGGCGCAGGCCCGCCGCCGTGCACCAGTGAAAACGTTACATCTCGGACTCTTGACGACCACGAAGCTTTCGAATAGATCGACATAGATCTGCCCGCGCAACAACTAGTCACTGCTATTTCCTTAATAAAACCAGCGATGTAATCTGTGTTTGTTTTAAAATACGACTAACGAGGTGTAACAGGTGCAGCGTTAGAAAATAGCCGGAGGCAGCAAGGGTTGCGTGCGGTAGACCAGTTATGCCAAGGAGACTCACTCGGACCGTTTTTGCAAATGATAGACGTTTTCTATCAAGTGTCGACACACGTTACTGAGACGGTGATAACAGTATTTTACATGGAATAGGAGAAAATGAGGGTCACATGGATGAAATACTCGGAAGCGATTTGAAACTCATAAACTATGCGTCTAGTGCGGATTTTGCTCATAAAACGTGTTCATACAGAATTTATTGCAAAAATGAATTCATACATACGGCGGGGAACGAAAACATGTTTGAATTATGTATGGGCTAGTGTATAAGTTATGTTCACGTGGGCGATCCTTATGCATAAAGATGTTATTATTTTGTCTTTACCTGTAAGTAGGCTCCTATAGTCGGTATAGGCAGTGCTCTATTCAAGTTCGTTAGCGTAATCTCCTCACTTTCTAATAGAGTCGTTGGTGGTATGCGATAAAATACAATTACAATATAAAATGAAGTTAAATTGCAGCCGTTGTGAAAGTGTCACTGATATAAACTAGAGTAGTTGGTGAACACTTCTTTTACTACAAAACAGATGCAAATGTTAAACTAAGACGAAGACGGTATCTAATACAAATCTGTTTCATACTTTATATTAGCTTGAAATAATCTTTTGCATTTTACTGGGATACGAATGAGACCCCATGCTGGGTTGATTTAAGAATATCTCCCTCATTAGAACTGCTATGTTATAAAATGCTCTCTGACACTTAACTAACGAACTATTACTTACACATAGTTATTCTAAAGTAACACTGTTAAACAAAACGAGTATGCAAATGAAACAAAGCTACATCTTCAACTAAAGGAAAAAGTTTACATTATTAAATTCGCATGAAATCACCCGACACGACCAATTACGGCGTTGGCCGTTGCGGAATAACGACGAACGACTAAAACCTGAACAAGGAATAACGCCGTAGGACGAAAGAATGTGACTATCCTTGAGAATAACAGCTAAATCTAAACGACCTTGGAGTTGAATCCCAGTGCGTACTAACTTTCTCTACACAGACGCGGATGTCAATATCAAGGGGAAATTTTAACGTCCTTGGCATTTACGCGGCTGAACGATATTTTTATATAAATTTTCTTGTTGTTTGTTGCAGTCTCGATCGCCACTTGATAACGGAGCACGCCCAGCCGGCCGGTGCATTTCCTTGCGAACTCTGCAACAGAGCTTACAGCACTCGAGTACTGCTCCTGCGACACCGTGCTCTCGCGCATACTGATATCCGAAAGTACCCCTGCGAGAACTGTCCTAAGGTGTGCACTGAATACTTTATGTAGTTAGAAATATAACTGTAATTTAGAATAACGATTTTTTGTATTTCTGTGTCCTGAAAAAACATGGGTTTTAAAAATACGCTATTATACTTTTAATCTCTTTCTTTATTCAGTCTATCATTTACAAAATTTACTTTAACTTTGATTACCTTTCATTATTCTATAAATTTAAATTTCCTCTAAATTGTTCAATATTGAATGGGTTCAGTTTTCCCTGGGTTTAAAATTTTCAATTAGTTGGGGCTTAGTTTAAGTAACCGGTGGTATTTGTTTCACCGTTTGCGAAACCTGATGTTATTTCAGGTATTTACCGATCCTTCCAACCTCCAGCGCCACATCCGCGCGCAGCACGCAGGCGCCAGGAGTCACGCGTGCCCTGAATGCGGGAAGACCTTCGCCACCTCCTCAGGACTGAAGCAGCACACACACATCCACTCCAGTGTCAAACCTTTCCAGTGCAAGGTTTGCTTTAAGGTGAGCTTTGTTTTATATTACATACACTATGCTTGTTAAAACTGCGGTTCTAATTATTTTAATGTAGTTTTAATGTTTTTAATAACAAACCTATATTTCGATTTCATTACATAAAACGTTAATATAAATCTAAAACAGATATTACTTAAAATTTTCAATAAATAACTTATTATAGTTATATGTTTATTTTTTTCACCTTTTTCTAATGATGTGTTTATTTGTGTTCCAGGCTTACACCCAGTTCTCTAACCTTTGCCGCCACAAGCGAATGCACATCGCTTGCAGAGCCCTTGTTGAATGCGGAAAATGCGGTCAGTCCTTCACGTCATACGCTTCTCTTACTAAGCATAAGAGATTCTGCGACACCGCTGCCGCTGCCTCCGTCAACCTCCGTGGACAACTCCCTCAGAGCCTACCCCAGATACCGTCTTTGCAAAACGTCGGGATGAATAACCCTAACAGCACTAACCCGTTCCCCATGTACAGGGGCCCTACTCTGCCTCTCCCTTACAACACCTTCGCTCACTACCCGGCTCTGTTCTCTGCTGCTGCCGCTGCTGCTTGTCCACCCGAGTTCCTCAGCCCACTGCTCTTCAACGTGCAGGGGGCCAGACTCGCGATGGAACACGACATGGCTATGTCAAACGCCAACTTGGTATCCAAACAACAAGAAGGCCGCTTGTCTGTCAAAAGTATGGACAGCTCAAACTCTATGGACGACAACAAAAAGCCCAAGGAATTGGATTTCGAAAACAAAAGGGACAGCTACAGCTCAGACAGAGCAACACCAAATAAATCACAGAGCCTTTACTCCAAGCAATCACCGCCATCAGGTGAGGAGGCATCTTCTCAACGCCGACCGTCACCAGTTTTGCCACTGCCCACACCGATTGTTCCATTCAATTTCTCAAGAGACGACATGAAGAGGAAGTCTCCGTTCAACTTCTCTCTCAAGCTCAATAACAATGACATTCAGGGTAACAAATCTGAGTCTCCACTACCTAAAGATTTATCGAAGAATACTATTGTTGATGATGATAAGACTTCCGAATACTCTGACGTCGAAGAGGATGTAAAGAAAGATGAAGGTGACCAGCCATTAGATCTGTCGGTGTCAAGAAAACAGAATGATAAGGATTCTGAAGCAGAGATTGATGATCGCTCCTTTCGCAACTCAGTTAAATCTTATTCACCTCCTGAAAGCCCAGCTGAGAGGAGCAAGACTCCCGAGAATGACACAACAGATGTCGATGTGGAAGGTGTAGAACCTAAGAGAGAGGACTCGCCACCACAGCTTGTATCACCACCACTTGCATTCCCCATGCCTGTTCATCCGCAGCACACCAATCTGATAGACGCCATGTACAGGCCTCGATTCCCATCTTTTCATTCTTCAGAATCTATTTTAAACTCTTCACACTCGCCCTATGTTCCGAGCCCATTCAATTTTTTATCCCCACTTCTCGGTACTGACGGACCCGATAGGCAACCTAGCGCATATGCTAAGTTTCAAGAACTTAGTACAGGATCAGGAAAGCTGCGTGACCGATATGCTTGCAAGTTCTGCGGGAAAGTCTTCCCAAGGAGTGCAAACCTGACTCGCCATCTACGAACACACACTGGCGAGCAACCTTACAAGTGCAAGTACTGCGAGCGCTCGTTCTCGATCTCATCGAACCTTCAGCGACACGTGAGAAATATTCACAACAAAGAAAGGCCTTTCCGGTGTCCTTTGTGTGAGAGATGTTTCGGTCAGCAGACGAATCTCGATCGTCATTTGAAGAAGCACGAGGCTGAAGGTGGAGATTCTCCCAGTTCTGCAGATACTGAAAGGGAGGACGCATACTTTGATGATATTCGATCGTTCATGGGTAAGGTGACGTGCTCCCCGGGCGCTCGGTCCCCGGCGGCGACACCCCCGCACGGAGCTCACGGCGCGCACACCACGCACGGCCCGCGTCCATCGCTCGCTATCTCCACATAGCCACCGACCTACCAGCTGCCACCGCCGCCACCGCTATGGACGCAGCCTTTCAACTGAGATACGTGATAAACCTTACAGCACATACACTGGAAACGACATAATAGTCTCGATACATTATCTAGTGATGCGGCCACATCCCAAGGCCCTTTGTTATAACGATTATGTCTTCTTCAGTATAAATGCTTCAAGGTTTGAAATATCATTCTCCAGTGAACTGAACAGTAATGTAGGGTCGTTGTAAATAAGTAAGCAGCTACAATTATTGAGGATACGAAGTAGTGTGGGTGTGTATTACGTACATAGTGATGTCTCTCTAAAGTTCACAACGAGAGCAGTATAATATTAAAGTAGATATGGATTCATTAAAAAATGTTCATCAAATCTATAGTTAAATTAATTGTAAAATTTTGATTTGTGCTTTAGCTTCTTTAAAATACGCCTAAGTACTTAAATACGCTAGTGGCACGTAGAATGCGTTCTAGGGTCCTAAGAAGAGTATTTCATTACGGTTTTCAATTTGTTTGACAAGATTAGATAAAACTTCTTTATTGTAAAAAGGTTTGACTAGAGAAATATCTGCATTAATTTAAGCGACATGACAAATCACTCTAGTATGTATATTACATTATAATTAAATTAAGAAAATGTGTAGATTTGTTAAGAGAATCGTTTTATTGATAACTTAAATATTTGTTCCTAGTTCATATCTTGTGATTTAAGGTTGACTTAAAACGTATTTTCTATCATAATTGTACATAAACCTGTTTTGTCTGTTATCATGTAAAGTAGAGTAAATGATAATTAATTGATGTTTAAAAAATATCATGTAATTTGTTCGATTTTTGAGCTATTTCCAAATCGGAGCGTATGCTAATAGTAATTAGGTATATTTTATTTCTATCGTAAATTATATTTTTTAAACACAGATTAATTTGACGTCGATAAAATATTGATACAGAAACACGGTATTGGTGATTAATTTCATTATATTTTGTAAATTTATAAAAATTACTTAAAAAAATATATTAATATGGAGGTTGCTAGTTAGTCGAAGGAAGCTACCAAAGTTTTTTATAAGTAACCCAAAATTTATTCGGAAATATTTATTTGGAGGTAAAAATAAATACGCAATTTATTCAGATGTAATTGTTAGTTATTTGCGTGATTAGAAAAATCAATTATTAATATAATATTTTTGTTAAATTTGTTATTTACACGATTGTTGTACATAGAAGGTTTGCGACACATGACATGCATATCATCTGTTTTATATAAAAAATTCGAGGCTCAAAGATTTAAGCGATACTTTATAACAATAAAACATCGTATTAAACATAAACGTATCTTTAGTAAAATGTAATATACTGTAAGAAAAATATCTTCATAAGATTTTCTGCAAACTAATTTCGATCACTTGACTATTCTTTGCCTACCTTTAGGTTTAAGTAGTAACAATAAGCGATCCGTTGTCTTTGAGACTTTGAAGAGAAAAAAAAGAATAGATGACGTCACACGACCTGTCATTTGGGATCTCCTTGCATCTATCCTGTGTTCAGGAGTTCATAGACGCATTGTAAGCTCTGGAGTCTTGTTATATATAATGGAAGATGAATGCAATACCTGTAAAGTAAGATATTTGTAATCATATCACTTGAAGCACTAGTTCGTTAAGGTTTTAACGTTACACAATAAAGTTGTATGCTAAGTACACCTGTACCTATTTAATTTCAAGTTCAATTAAAAAATAAACTATTAAATATTGTAAACGCATTGAAAAATAAAACAAATACAATACATTTATTTTGTATTATTTTTGGGAACCCTTAAAATATATTTTTTTATTGTGCCTTATATACCGGCAATATCATCCCCTAAAATTGTTCATACAAAACTAGTCTCTAAACATCGGAAATAAGGTCTATAATGTTGAAAGCGGTCACCGGTGACTGCTTGGGGATTTAAGGGTTTTGGTAGTTATACAAAATGTGTAGATACTTACCTATAAGTAGACAAATTGTACACATGCACACAAAGCCACATTGATTAATTTTTATAGAGAAACTTCTGTCTAGCAAACTGGATGCCGGAGTAATAACGACACTCGAATTACACAAATATGTAATAAAGTTTAGTCGTGATGGACCTCTGCTGTCTAAGGGTAATGCTAGAATTCCCACGTCTGCACTTAATTGCCGGTAGATGGCGGTGACACGATTTTAAATATCATTACGTTAATCTTTTGATACGATGGATAAGGAGGATGTTAGTCATCGCGAGGAATTTTTGGAGTGGCTCCTTAAAATGTTCATATTTTGTTGGTTAGAAAAAATGAGGTAGACATTTTAAAGTTTCACAGCTAGAGGACCATTCAGTATTAACGGCTTCTTGAAACAAATAAAAAATATTATTCACTGTATGAACTACTATTTACTTTCTTGATGATAAATGATTTTGTTTATAAGAAGTACTGATACTAAATATAACTTTTTCTACTTCTTCATACATAAATATTCTTTTTCATACATTTCATAATAGATAGCAAATTATAAAATAACATAACATCACGCCTTTCATTCCCGACGGGGTAGTACTCATAACATAATTATGTCCCATGTGTCCCATGTAATAACGGGTGAGCCTATTGCTATATACCGGGCACAAATCCAGACTACGTGCTATTAATGAGATTTTTTAAAAAACCCAGTAATATTTTGCATGACCCGGGAATCGGCAGCAGCAGTCGCACTTGCAACCACTCGGCCAACAAGCCAGTCAATAGAAAATGATGTTCCACTATAACCTCGCTACCGATAACAATGTGATTTATTACCTGGCTCACATAAACTGTAAAATAGACCACTTTACCTATCCGTCTGAGTAACACTTGTAAAGTAGCTACACCGCTACCTATCCCTTTAGGTAATAACGCACTTACCGTACAGTCTTAAACTTTCATCATATTTTTATAACATTTAAAAACTCAGAATAAAGCTACCTAGTCACCGGAAAAATTAACAGACAAATCTGTTTATCCTGGAAATTTGGACTATCAGAATTCTAAATGACACAAGGTAATTGTGTATTTACCGTTTTGGACAAATTCGCTAGTGCTATGGGAATACCCTTTTAGTTTTTAGGTAAGCCCTGTAGCGTTGTTTATGTAAAAACCCTGGGCGTTTTTGTAAAATGCATGGGTATTTCCGTTTCCATGTGATAGGTGGCGTTGATAGGCTGTTATTTCTTATTGGGAAAAATAAGTGGAACTTTTAGACTGCGTTTAAAGTTCTGTCTTAAAGTTTTATTTATTTTAGAGGAATTTTCAGTAGTGGGTACTTCTAAAGTATTGATTTAATCATTTTTCTTTTAGTTCAGACTTTTTTTTTAAGAGGGAAATCATCAAATGACTGCTCCCTCCTGGGTGAGGCGGGAGGGAGTGTCAGATTCTTATTGACTAAAAACCACCCCGTTCCTTCTCCTGCACATCGAGCCGGAGCCCCGGTTACCCGTTGGGTTCTCCGCAACTTTCGTTCAGACTAAGTTTACAAACGATGTGTCGTGTTATATACCTTCTCAAGAAATGTTCTTCTTACGGTTTTGTGTCGTATTGGTTCTCCAGTAAAGTAGGCATTTCTTTATTAGATAAAAATCTACATTGTCTTACACAAAGGTCTACCAAGCTACACAGAATAATGCGACTTAGTTAAATTGTTACAAGCAAAGATATCACAGGTTGTATTAAATGCTTCGATTAATTGCGAATCCACCAATGATTACTTGTGTCTAATGTGAATCGTGAGTTTAAAAGGACACGATGCTGAAGAGCCAATCAGAAGCGTTTTCCGATGTCTACAAACACGCTATTGGTGAAGACTTTATCAAAAACATTCATATTATACGTACTGTAGACACTGTTGACCTACAAACTATAAACTTTGCACGAGCCGTTACAAAATGTAAACGATTAACCGAACATTTACGAAAATAGCCGAACAAGTTTTCTCACAATAATAGCTTTTAAAGTCAATAATATGAGGTAAGAAGTAAAAATTCGAAAGTTATTACACATGACGTTCTTGAAAAATGTGACTTCAATAAAAACTTTGCAATCGATCCTCAATATTAAATGTCAAAAATCAGATCACTGGCGCAAGGGTCAGTAAAAAAGGTTAACCTTTTGGTAGATTTTAATCACTCTTTATTATATAAGTGATAACCTCGAGCGAGCGGCGTTATCAGTGAAAGCAAGGACGGAACAAGGACACAGATAGTGCAATTACACTCATTATCGAGCGGCCGGTCGCGGCGCGCGCGCACCTCGGTACCCTGTAATAGAGGATTAAGTGGCCGCTTGGACGCGGTCCCTGACACGCCTCATTGTCTAGGATAAGAAACCGCACCTCAAGCGAATTACGTTCATCTACCGCATCTTATAATGATCAATTAATTGATAGCATAATTCAATCAAAAACAAAATTAACTTTATTATAAACTCACTTTCAAGCTAAAAGTATGAATTCTCTAAATCTTAATAAACGTTGAACATAAATAAAATAGTGATGTGACCACGCTGCATTTGCTTCGCGTACATTCTCAATAAGGTCTTGCTTGCTAGGAATCTCGCGACACTATCGCGACATGTAGTCACTGCGCTGCCCACTCCATGTCTTAGGGTTAGGTTACATGGTATCGACAGAGGGAAAGAAATGGTGTATTCGCAACAAAATACTAATAAGGTTTTAAGACATTATAATTGGGATTTACTTATTATTTAATAATGAAAACGTAAAATAGACAACAAAATCTTTACATTTTATTGTATTAAAAAAAAACACGTATGATGTGTAATGTTAAATTCTCATGGCTGACAACATTCCTATTAAGGTGTCATAGTTATCACTTCCATTAGCAGTACCTATGGAGATGTTAATTTATGTTTTTATTACTGCATCAAAGGTTTACTGCCAATTACGGTGATAATTGTAATTCATTAGCCATCTCTTCTGTAACTGGTCATTATTACCAAAAATATACAATTATATGTGTTTTACGTTTTACCACAGCTAATTTGGAGCGTATAATACTTCACCGTATAATTGACAAGTAGCGCTGTAATAAAACAACCGGATGCAAAGTAACGTTTATTTTACGACCTCACAAACGTATAAATAACATTTTCGATTCTGAGAATTAAAACGACACTAAAGTGTGTGTCTAAGTTTATCAGCATGTTCCGCCCACATTTGATGTCCATGTAAGCCGAGCTCGCGGGCTGACACCGCGGCCATTGTCCGTCCTTCCCGCACAAGGCGCCACGGTGTCCCGTTTTACACAATCGTGGGTACACCCTACATGAGAAATGTGTCTTATTAGCCGGCCCTTGCAAATGTCATAGTGGTCAAGTGGCCCTTACTAAATGCAACATGTGATATATTGCACAAATTCTTGATGGTAATGCTGAAATGTTTGGTCGTTATCAACTTATGTAGACCATCTCGCTCGGGTTAGAGACAAATTGTCGCATTAATTATGTGTTGTAGGTAATTGTGATCTCTATTTCTTAGGTAATAGGGCACAATATGTTTATATTAAAAAAATACATGTTGAAATGCAATTAGTTAGTACTCGCAGCCACTATTGAAGAGCTCAAAGCTCTGCAGTCATACTTATTATTATTTAAGTAACGATTCAGTCTTATTGATTTAAATGAACATTAAATACGGACGGCATTAAAACAATTGAACGGCTACTTTACCAATTATTGTAGGCACAATTATACTATATCGATACAAATTGTTGTTGCAATGCTCGTGCTTCAACGCAGCTTCGCTCGGTGCAATTAAATCTCGACTTGTTCTTATATTATTTTTTTCTGCCCCCGCTGGTCATTAGTACGGCTATAAATCTACCTTCTGTCCGTTCGTCGTCGTTAAGAACTTCATTAACTTTTCGTTGACATGTGTTTTTCAATTGAAATCATGAGAATGAGACCGCGAAACATTTTAATTTCGAGACTGCGATGTGACAAAACGTCAGGAAATCGATTCGGCTCGTTATTAAGTTTTCATGCAGTCTTAATGTTTGTTTTTTTGTCGATTTATCATTATGACGATGGAGTTAGAGTTGAAAATGGAGCAAATTTATAGCGTAGTTGGTCGCTTAATTGATATGAGTTGACAATTTATTATAAACTGCCAGTCATGCGCGTAATTTTATTACGAGAACTGTGTGTATTCTGGGAATTGTCATTGGTTGTAAAGAATGGAGGTTAAAATATTATATGGAGTAATTGGTCAGCAACTGATTAGCAACAACGGTCTCCACCCACTTGATTTAGATAAATCAGAAATGATAATTTTACGAGCCACATCCGTTTTAATTATATCTGGGCAGTGGTTATGACTTATGAGTTATGACGTATGCTCGGGAACTTTGCGGATGTCTCTCGGCTAGGATCGATCTAGTTATCGCATTGGGCAAGTCCAGATTGATTATGGCTTACGAAATCAGATTGTAGTTTATTAGTTCCTGTTACATCTCAATTGATAGAAACAATATACATTGAAATTAATTCGACGGTCTTGCTGGTTGTTTGTATTAGTGCATGAGGTTTTAATTTGGAGAAAAATCGACTATATTGTAGCAAAATGTAGTTACAAACTACACTTAGTATTTGGCATAGACTATTCAAATAGTCGGCCATGTTTTATGGTCACATTTTTGTCCATGTTTATAGTTAGTAGTATTTCTATATTTCGGCACATATTTAGTAAATGAATGCGTTTTGCTT